TTCTGGACAGAAGCAGATAAGAACTGAGGATATTTACAAAAAAATGACTTACTCGTACATAATTCATTAAAGGAATCGTCTTCCGCAGCAAGAGGCAGACAACCACCTAAAATTATGAAAATCTGGATATTAAACACCACCTTAGAAAACAAACAATAATACCTGAAATTGAAGAAAGCATAGATAACTTTAAATAAATTTTAGTAAAGCAAACATATAATAATTTTTAGTAAAGCAAACACTGTCTATCTTTGAAAAAATTGATGGACATCACCCTCAACTGAGCAACCAAATGCCGAAGGACAAAACCATATTGTCCAGTCCCCCCTCCCTCATTTTCTTTTTAAACGAAAAACAGTCCCCTGAGATTCAGATAGTATGAACAAAAATTTTGGGAATGTATATCGAAGGATGCTGAAGGTGCATGTACACTGAATTTTGGCCATTACACTGGTAATGGGTAACAAAATCCAAAGGTCCCAGGTGCTTACAACAGAAGGGGTTTGTAAGCTCGGCTTTGAAGAAATATGATTGTAGGAATGATGGTGCAGGTTGACCACAAAAACTTTTCTGACAGACGAGTTAAGAAGCATGGGCTAACCAATGGGGACCATTATTATTTACGTTCAGCTCGAGGAAAGCACTGACTTCTAGAAGTTGAGGATTACACATAAAAAATCAAAAGTATAGATGAAGAGAAAATACATGGTAAGATGGACAGTGGGGATTAAGTCATACAAATTTTTTGGACTCGTCATTCAAAGCGGCTTCCAATCACAATAACATTGGACATGATCGAGGGCTATGCATGATCTCAGGTGAGAAGTTTATTTTATTGAAAGGACAGTAAGGTCTTAATAACTATCACGTTAAGCTTTTTCCTGTTTACTTCTTTTTCTAAATTTATCCATGCTATGCATGATCATAGGTGACAGAATGTAACTAATTCCCAAATTTTACGCTCTTTTTAAATCATTCTAATCATACCTTGCTGAAGTAACCTGCCAATGATGTACTATGAGGGCGCTTAGGATCCAAGAAAGAGAAGAGCAGGTTCATAAGCTGTCAACCCAAAGTAAAGAGCCACCTTGTCAAAGTCAAGATAAAAAATAACTTTGTGGAAAGTTCTAAAAAATTCCTACCTCCTCGTCCTCTACCAAAGCTTTGAGTATTATATCAACTTCACAGGTGAAAATTTCACAAGCAACAAAAGGAAACCTGTAAGCACAAGCAATAAAAAAAAAAAAATAGTTATCAGAAGCCTTCCATTTTGAAATCAATATAATCATGGTCCAATAAGGATCTAGTACAGAGTAGAGTAGCTAGGCAACACACACGTGTGTATATATAGAGGGTGTTTGACACCCATTTTTTTGAGAATAGAATTTTTGGAACAGTGATTGATGGAAGAATGTGTGGTGGAAAAGTTATGAAAAGTTTTAGATTTGTGTGTAATATTATTTATTGAAAAAATGTGTGGTTGAAATGAAGAAAGAGAAAAAAAATGAGAATGAGAATGAGTGCCATATATATATATATATGACAGCCACTTACTTAGAAGTACGCTGTTTCTCAGCATCTTCAGGAGCTTCTTCCACTATGTATCGAACAAGTTGTTCGACTTGAGTTCTTTCCTGCAAACTACAAGAGCGGTAAACTAGTTACTGTGTGACAAATGAGGACCTTGGATATGTCTTTCCTCCCGAGTATTGAGGCAATAAAAATGGAATGGAAAGAGGACATTTTTTTTCTTTATTTAAAATAGATGGGAAATAAAATAACCATAACACCATGTAAAAGGGAAGCAATGATTCAGATACTTGCAAGAGAATCATTATGGTAGTCTATAGCAATAAATCAAGAGACACATGTACAAGTCCTGCAAATAATTTACACTCGCAAAAAATAACAATTAGATATTTACTAATTCTACTATAGGTCCCCAAAACAAAAGGAATACATGTACACATTCGACAACAAAATAAGCCTTTTTCATAATAAAATTTTGGTAGCTCTATGACATCCTTTTCAGCCATTCCAATGTCCGTATTTGAACATATCCAAATACTATTCAAATGTAACTAGCAACCAATTTATATTCAACATTTCTAACTAAATAATGAAATCAAAGTCCATAAATACGTTCTTCTATCATGAATAGAACTTCTCTCGGTAATCAATAAATCCTTTGCAGTTATAGACCGGGATATAACTTTACCAATTGCATCTTTTTTTATTTAGATAAATGTCGTCATCTTCATCCTCAACTACATTTCATTGCATGAACTGAAAGATGCAGAATTCTCGATATTTGGATGAGCAGCATATTATATCATTATATGCTTGTATGCATGTGTATGATTTTAGAAGCTTATTAATTAAAACAGGTATGCTCATGAATCTTATCCACAAAATGATTCCACGTGAGTTACACAGTTAATAAGCATGGTAGGCCCTTGTTTGAGCCCTATTTATAAAAAAATCATCTTTTCAAAATTCATTTTCAACCACACATTCTCCAAAAATCAATATTTAAAAATGCATTTTTCTCTCAAAAAGGAGCTCAAACAAGGGCTAGATATAGATGCATAAAACTTATTCAACTATCTACTATTAATATAGCAATCTATTTATATCCATCACAAAAGGGGCTCTCAACTGTAAGCATCGAATATCGACAGTATATGTATTCCTCATTCAAACAATTCTTCAATTCTCTTTTTTTCCTCCTTTCAACTTCGTTTTCTTAACTTTTCTCATCTCGTTTTCCTTCTGTTGTTGTAGGTGGGAGTTTACCCATGCATTAAATACATAATATCTTGGACTTTGGATTTACCATTTCCCAGTTTCCAATTTTATGCCTCACACAAGAAAATAAATTAACAGCATCGATTATGGCACTGTTTCAACTTCAATCATTTCTCGTGTATGATGAGATTCAACCAAGTACATTTTCTTACCTACCACTATGACTATGCATTGCTTTCCACCATCTCACAAGCCATGCTAAAACCTTCAGTTCAATTGCATTATCCATTCTTTTCTCATTTTCATCCTTCAACTCTGCATGAAAGAGTTTGTCTAGAATACATTTATCTCATACATAGCTTTTACTCTACTCCTGATCTTCTGTCTCATGCTTCCCATATTCATCTACATCGTTCAACCTTTCTTCAAACTCTTCAAAATGTTCTCATTCTCTTGCATTCAATCTAAATTGAAGCCCTATATAAATGACACCAAATCATCCCATATTACCTATTCAAGATTGTTAAGTGGTTAAATTGGATAGAGATTTGAACTTTGGCATAATTGGATGAGGTGAACCATGAAGATTAACATTTTGAACCCACTATCTTGTTCTGTCATGAGGACATTTTATCAAAGTGCAAAATATGACATTAAAATGATAAATAAAAGCAGCAACAGTCATTAAATTTTGAATCTGAACATGTGAATCAGAGAACAGTTTTGCAGTAAGTCAATTTATAACTTACAAATTAATAAGACGGCCATTAAGTGCTTTGCATTCTTGAATTATTTCATCTTCATCCAGAAGCTCCTCCAGTGTAAAATTTTCCTTGTCTAAAATGGTCTCCACCTGCAATGGAAATGTTATTAGTGAAAGCACCAACATGTTTACTCAAATGTTTTGACATTATCCAACCCTTTTCACTCAACAATTTGAACAGGAAAAGTTGGACATTGTGAGTATATGAATATGTTGAAACATCTAGGGGAAATGAACTCATAGAAAAAAATCGGCATATAGCCTAGAGCCATATGAACAAGTGTGACATGGAAGAGCATGTAAACATGCATAACTTGAAAATTACAACTCAGTCCTCGGGTTGGGCCAGATCCCTAACAAACGTGTGATCAAGACACTAAACATGTGAGAAGAATATTATTCTCCTATTTAATAAACTAACTCAGGGTTCTAAATCTTTTATCTAGAAAAGGGCTTCAAATAATACGACAAGTGGAGGGGTCTACACTCTATACCAGACACACTCCTCTTAATGGCAGTACCACGAGTCAAGATTTGCTCTGGGTACTGTTCCCCTGCCCACCTATCCGCCCAATAATCCATTGCAGCCCAAGATTCAATTAAACTAAACAACTATACATGACTCGTAATGATTGGGTAACAAACTAATATATAAATAGCATAGCAGCAAATACGAAATGCAATTATATAAATTCCCTTGTCTTCTTCACACTTCAAGACCTACTGCATTGCCCATACTTCTACACTCACCGAATCAGACAGTACTCCAGAAAATGCAGATTAACTGGGCATCATACCCGGTGCCCACAAACACATCCATTACTAGTATACAAATTAGCAATTATAAACAAAAATAACATATTCTGAACACAAAATTAAAAGCACGTACTGGAAATGTAGTGGAGATTCGAGCCAAAGGCCAAAACATGGTGAATTTTGAAGTGTGATGACACGCTTCTAGACTCAAGGCTCCGATCTGTCAGCTTAAAAATCTTAGCTTATCTAGCGAGCGTCTGCAACAACTTGTATCAACGATTTTTAGTCAAAACAAGCAGGGGCGGAGCCACCTGAGGTCTAGTGGGGGCAGTTGCCCCCGCTGGATTTTGGTCCTGGGAATTTCACCGATTACACTTGAGGGGCGGTCGGTTTTAAAGGAAAGAAGAAAACCATAAACAACCACATCAAAAATTCGACACAGAGATTGTCGAGAAAATTACTATGCTTAAGGAATATTACCATAAAAAAAAAAAAAATTTGGGGGGGAAAAATTCCAAGGAGCCAGAAGAAGAGAGTAGCAGTAAGGCTGGCCGGGAATGGGATCTTAGATCGAGGTTGGTTGAAATTGAATAATTCACAACCATCAAATCGAGTGGGAAATCGGCATATAATATCCCAATAGATTTAAATCATGTTTTTACACAAATAAAATCTGAGATTACAGTCTGCTTCCTGGTAGAAATCACTGCTGCACGAGATAAAATTGGGGCTAAGAGGATCATGAATTATGAACAAATCCACCCTATTTCCCTCTCCTTCACAGTATATTGTTCCTAAATTTTTGTGCAATAATAACGAGAAAACCCATAACCGCTGTCTATTGATAAGAATTAGAACAGGGCTGGTTGGATATTCTTGTGGATTAATCCAAGAAAATGTCCTTTTTACACATCCCATCAACTTGAACGTTAATTTCGTCCCTTCATTTCTATTTAACTGTACGGTTAACCAAAAGTTGACTATTTTAATAAGAATAATGCTTCTAAAAAAAGGATAAAATGATGTTTTAAATAGTGAATTTTTTAAAATGTATAGTTAAAAAGTAATTTTTTTTATTTTTTGTAGAATATTTTATTGTGTAAATATATGGTTGAAAATGAGTATGAAAAATAAAGAATTTTAAGGCTAAATAAAAACGAATAGATTTATTGTTTTTATTCTCTCTTTCTCCGCCAACCTAGTATGCTCCAAAGACAATGCTAGACTCCGCCTTTGTATACATGTTATAATAACATAGCTATTTAAGACATAATTTAGGATGTGTTTGAACCTCGTTTTATGGAAAAATAAATTTTATAATAGCGGTTTTTATGAAAAATGTATGCTTAAAAAGTAGGGAAAAAAATTAAATTTACGTGTACTATTATTTTATTGAGAGAATGAGTAGTTAAAAATGAATTTGAAGAAAAATGGGGCTTAACATAAACCTTATGAGCATATCATATGTGGTTACACTAATTCACTCAAAATATTTCGAAACATTCATTTAGAAAATAATTTTGATTGATAGGGGTAAGGATAGTGGAATAGAATCGACACTCAATAATGAGTTTTGGAAATGTGAAATTTGTACATACAAGAGAGTCTCTCTTTATTATAATGACTAGAGAGAGATGATTTGTATAAGCAAAGAATTCAGAAATAAGGTAATAACTCGACACGCTCTAGTACAAGAAAAACTCGTTTTTTGCTACGAGTATTAGTGAGATAATATATGGATAAAGTTATTTTACACAGATAACCTTAATCTCGAAATAGGTATTCAATTTCAACCTCAAATATCCTCCCAATTTATGAGCTAATTTCATAAAACTTCAATTTTTGTATATTTTATAGGTTATGTTTGATAGATATGCTTTGTATTTCGACAATTGCGTGCAAAGGGAAACCCTTTTGAGGTAGCACGGCAATAAGAATGACGTTTCCCATTGTACCAAAGGTAAGTTTGAGGCCATCAATGTGCAAAATGGCACTAATTATGCTCAGGATGAGCTTTCCAGACGGGTAGATGGCTGGCCTGATGGCCCTACATGTCGATCCAGAGGACCTTGGACGCTGCATGGTGAGTCCGTGACACCTAGGTATCCACAAACTAACTAAAATAGCAGAGAGCAAACGCATACTGCATGGTTAAAGGCTCATGAAATAACTATATTATCATTTTCCTTTACTGGTGGCAGGTAACATTAATGTAACGGGCCCACTGCCAAATCACATCCCAAAACAAAGGGTTAAATATGTGTACATCACAACCTCGGATGAATCAAATACCATCCCTTTTAACTGTAAAGTTGAAACAGAAAAGGAGGCCAATATGCATAAAAGTACAAAGCGCCTTCCCATGTTCGAGGTCCAGATACTCAAAGGCAACTTCACCAAGGCAAGGTAGGTCAGTTAATCATAGAAGAATACTCAATTTGTTGATCTCAAATATCCTCGACTACTGGGATGTGCAGGTACAAGCTTGCTTCAGTTGTCAATGTTATAGCTACAGTGGTTGATCGGGGAGAGTGGTGGCATCTACCTCCATACTGTGCCTCTTCTTTTTTCCCTCCCCATGTCTCGATCTTCTCGGAGCCTCATCCTCGCTTTCACTTTCGTCATTTCTGAAGTTGTTTCCAACACTGTACTGATCCTCCGATTGAGTTTTCCCTCTTTGCTGATTTGGTGCCTCATCATTTGGTCCAACCGAGCCAGCCATACCTAGATCTGAACCAGTATTAAATCTATCATTCCTATAGCCAGATAAAGCTTTCTGATCTCTCTTGGGTCGATTAAAATGTTGTGATGGAGCTGGGAAAAATGGTGGCATACCACCTGGCCGCCCAGCTCGTGCTGGGGCTGCAGCACCTGCACCCATGAAAGGGGGTCTTCCTGGACCCATCATCATCCCAAATCCTCCAGAAGGCCTACCAGGAAACATCATTCCTGAGCCGGGACCCATGAGCTCACCCGAGAATCTAGGACCGTATGGTGCAAAGCCCCGGGGTGCCATACCAAAAAGATCAGGCATAGGAAAACCATCACCACCCATCATGTTAGGGGGGAAGCCCTGCATCCCCGGGAAGGGCCGGGGTCCATGTGCTAGAGGCATGTGAGGAGGCCACACCATTCCTCTGCCCCTTCCCCTTCCTTGAACTCCTGGTCCGAAACCCTGTCCATAGCTTTCATCCTCTTCTTCACTTTCTTCCTCTTCCTCCTCTTCATTATCTTCGAAGGGTACAATATCCGGGTTTTCACTCTCATTGCCAGGTTTGATTCCCTTTGCCTTCTCCTCTTCTCGTTTTGATTCTGCTGCCAGTGCGATAGCCTAGAAAAGAGTAGATTACCATTTTCAACCATCTATGCCAATCGGAACAATAATACCACAACAGGGCAAACTATTTTATACCAAAATGTACAAATTGTAATGCACCTACAGATTCCATGCAATGCATGGTTTTTAGCATTGGATCCATGCATCAGAATAATTGATCATTACTCTAGGATGGAAAAATGCAACCTAAAGTATTCAAAGGGAACTTGGTTTATGAGCTCAAACCCCTCAATACTACAACAACAAAAGTATTCACTATTAAATCACCAAGCAAAGAACCACAAAAGAAATGGAGTAGAAACGTCGAAGTATAAAGACAACAGAAGTCACCATTGAGATAAACTATAATGACCCACAAGTGTCATGAAATATAGCTACATGGTTCTCGAGTCATGAGACACATTGCTGCCGTGCGAAATTGTTGCTTTTTGAGGTAAAACGGTGGGGTAGTAACAATGATGCTACTATAGTGATGCTTGAACTACTTTAGCAAACATTTTATTCTTGCAAGAAAAGAATTGCCTAGATACAGTTTAGTAAAATGCCCTACAGTCAATGTCTAAGGTAATTTAAGTACCATAAGTTCACTGTCCGGCTCAAGGTAGAGTAAGGATGCCAACTGCTCTCCAATAGAGGGCTCTAGCTCTTGACAGTCTCTGCTTATCTGCAGTAACATGAACTAACATGAACAGAACATCATAAAAAAAAAAAACTTATAAATCCCAATCAAATAACTGGCATCTAAGGAGCTTAGAGCACAAGACACATTACAAGTTTCATTTTCTAAGTTGGGTTAACATTTACTTGAATTATCTATATTAACTACACATCCCAAGTGTATCAGTTTTCATTAAACCATCTTTATGAATTAGTGCGAATGTTGCAATTAGTAAAATCAAGGGAAATAAGCTTCGGACGGGTTTATAGATATTTGATTTTTCCAACCAGACAAGATTTTCCCAGTTTATTTCCCCCGTTTCATTCATCTTCGAATCCCTATTTCAGCTTCCACAGCAACTTTCACAACTTGCATGGATCAGATTATTATTTTTTTTTTTTCATTAGCGCTCCTAGGGGGTAAAGAAAACACAAGATAAACTAGACTTTAACTTCATACGTTTATGAAGTATATCGTTAACAATTTTAGCGCAAGATTTGTGGGGCACCAAAGAGCCAAATCATTTGTCTAGTGGACCATTGTAATGTATCATCATTGTATTTGTTATTATAACACATTCTAACGTGCCGAAAAGAATTCCAGATTGCTATGAACGCCTAAAAATATTGACTTCTCTTCAAAATTTCAATTGATTTCAGAATAAAATGAGCTGCAAACAGAGTATAAATTTACCAATATCAAAGTAAATCATAGAGATGAATACGAGAAAGAGTTTCAAGTAAGTACTTTCACTGGTAAGTTCTCATTGAATGGGTTTCTCAAATGCCGCGTTTTATGGAAGGACAATTCACAGAGCTGCATGTAAACATAACGGTTAGCATCAAGATCTGTTGATGATTTAGAATATGCAACATGTACACCAAAATTCAGTTAAGTTGGAAGTGTTGAATAGAAAATGGAACTGTATCATAGAAAAAAATGCTGAATTGGAGTTTCTTGTAATGTTTCCACATTTTGAAATTGCGAATAAATGGAAGGGGCAAAATAGTAATTTTCATATCATAAATGACATAAGCTTGGAAATAAAACACAAAAATATGACATTTTGCCCGTGAAGTGATGACACTAAAAGCACATATTAGCAATTACTCCAGGTATGACAACTGTTGACCCAGAGTGGGTAATAGCTCAGAGACAATTGCCATGTAAGCATTTT